CACCTCAGAACTGTACTAATTTGTATGCCTCTAGGAACTTTAGCATACCACATTGGTCCTGTCCATCTAAAGTGTCTTCCTGTTACTAGTTCTCCGTCTTTATCTTTCTTCTGAGGTAGAAACGATATATGACAATATTAAAAAAATCTAATATATTAATATGATAACTAAGAATATGTCCTTAAATTATTTAATATATAAAATTTTACAAATTAATTATATTTCTTCAAAAGAGATATAATTAATTATTTAATATTTTAATAAGAATATAATTTAAAAAACACTTGGATTAAGTAACCTAAAATGTAAAAACCTTTATAAATAGTTTTTTTTGATTTTATATTAAAAAAAGATCTTTTTTAATAGTAAGAAAGGATTCATATTTAATGTTAACATTATATACATAGCAGAAATTTGAAAATTCTTGATATAATGGACATAATTATTTGATAAATTAATTGAGTCACTATTAAATATAAATCATGTGCAATTGTTTTTAAAGATTTTAAAAAACAAAATAATTTATGCTATATATATGGTTAATACCAATATACTATTATACAAAACATATTAATTTTTAAGAACAAATTGAATAATTAATAGATTTTTATCAATCTATATCAAATTAAAACTTTTAATTAATATCACTTTAATATTAATTTAATACCAGTTTGATATTTAAAATTACTATTAATTTATATAAGTGGATTATAACCTATATATTAAATTTACTATAAATTGATATTATTCAATATTACTTCAATATTAGTTTATACTTTTCAAAACTCTACATCAAATAACTAATCAAATAATCGATTGTTTAAGAATATTGAAAGATGTTTACATTTTTTATAAATAGAGATGAATCAGAACACTTCTTGAAGATAGTTACAACAACTTCTCTTCAGAATTTTTAAATGAAAATTATAATCAATACTGCAGTTCTTGATATAGTAGCAACAAAGCTACTTAAATACATAATAATCACACCTTTACTATTGTATTTCATAATTAAGATATAATAATTTTCCAATATTTTGTTGTAAAAATAAGCATGTTTATTCTGTATATTCTTTGGTTGAAATGCACATGACATATTTATTATTGCTCTTGAATTAGAGGGGTTAGAGGTATAGGATTTGATAAGTATATTTGCTTGAGGTGTGCATGATATATTTATTTTTGAATATTTTTAATTTTTTTCAGTAGAAACGGTTTTATTATTTATAATATTATGAATTTGAGTATTAGTAAGGCTGGGAATTTCTCTTGCACTATATGAGAATTGCTTAATTAGATCTATCTATGGTTCCGAAAATTGGAATCAAATAGAATCGAACAGAATCACATGAGATTCGGAACACTATTAAAAATGATGGTGGGGTATACCCCACCTATTAAATTTAATATAAATTTGAGAATCGAATACAGAATCGAAGAGAATCATTAGGATCATTAGATCTATCTACATGTTTTAATCCACAGGGAAACAGGTAAAGCGTCAAGTATATGTCACAGCATTTCTTTTATATACACAGGATATTGCCATTTTATATTTAACCTTTTTTTCAATCCATAATAGCTGAATTTTGCTTTCAATTTCAAGAGAAAAATGAAATTTCTTTCTGACTTGTCTTGGTTGCTTTTCAATCAAGCAAGCTAAGCTTGGTGCAAACTCTGGAATTAAAGTCTTTTGAATTTTGGTGGCACAAGAATTATTAATTTTGGCTGATTTGCATTGATATCCTTCCATCTTTAAATAATCTAGAATTACCACAGAATCGTAGTTCTTGTATCGAGCCTTGTTCCACAACTTTGTTCTTGTCAGGCTTGATAAGGTCATCAAAAGAATAATGATACACATCCAGATCAATTTGTATCAGCTCAGAAGATTTGGACAACATTTTTCTAATCGTTTCCACTGGAAACAGTTTTTTCATCAGGTAATGAATATTAGAGGAGCGGGTATCAGCGGAATTGACATTGTCAAAGGGTTATTATGCATCTCTTGATCTCGAAGCCTTTTCTCCCTGATCATTTCTTTTATCTCATTACTAATCTTTTCTTTATGTTTTTAATCTATGAATTTGTCAACCTCCTTATCTTTCAATGATATAAATTCGATACTAGATGTGACAGGAGTTGGATTTTCTATTGATTTGAAGCTTTTTTCAATAGGTGATGGTAGGATTATTGGTAATGGTAAACTGACTGGCGAGTATGAAATACTGTATAGACTATTTTTACACAGTTTCTTTTACCGAGAGTTGAATAAATGCAAGTTGTTTTTTATTTGACCATACAGTCCCGTCGGTATGTACTTAGGAAGGTCTCACGGTGTTTGAATTGATAGTTATTACATAAAACTATTTTTATTATACTATTTTTTTGAACATCAATGTATATTATTCATCTCTAGTCATCATATACAGTGTATAGGCTTTTTATTATTAAACTTTTGCTTTGAGTTCATGGAGATCAAAGTAGGATGGAAACTCAATAAATAAGATTCTCTGGCGGTTTGGTCGAGATGTTTTATGTTTATTAGATCAACACGAATCCTTGACGCATGATAATTTTGTTTTTTTTCAGCAGAAATTTTTTGACTTTTTTGAAAAAAAAAAGGGAAACGTTAAAAAAAGTAGTTATTGTTTTCTTTTCAATATATTTTCGTCAAAAGCAGTCCAGAGTTAATAAAATTGTGTAATGTTCATGAAAGGATAGATCGAATATTACACTTGTTTAATCGAGCTTGTATATCATGTCACCTTGCAAGAGGAAGTAATTAATTCCAGAATCAATTTGATAATTTACTTTTTTTATCTGAACATTTTACATCCAAATATATACTGTAGGCAATGATTAATTACTATGACTGCATTATTAAACTTTTAGCCTCTTCCATTTTTTTTGATTAAGTTATTCATTTGATTTTCTTTGCATTACTATAGCATAAATGACGTGCTATTTATTAAAAAAAAAATGAACACTAAAGAGAAAGTTAAAAATAAATTAAGAAATATTATAATGAAATCAATCACAGAAAATCAAAAATTTTAAAAAAATATATTATCAGTCAAATAATAATAATTTTTTAAAAAAAACCAATCATAAAAGGTATGGGCATATACTAAAATATAAATGTCAGCATGATCCAGATTTATTATACCAATATTTTGCCTTTTCCTCATTTTTCGTGGTTCCAATTCCATGTTGATAACAATATCCAAGATCAAATTGTAATCCTACATCGGTATTTCCACCTTCAACAGATTTCAGATACCATTGAAATGCTTTTTCACCGTCTTCAATGGTTCCAATTCCATGTAGATAACAATCTCCAAGATTATTTTGTCCATTGGCATTTCCACCTTCAGCAGATTTCAGATACCATTGAAATGCTTTTACATTGTCTTTAATGGTTCCGATTCCATCTTGATAACAATCTCCAAGATTATTTTGTCCAGCGGTATTTTCACCTTCAGCAGATTTCAGATACCATTGAAATGCTTTTTCATCGTCTTGAGTGGTTCCAATTCCATCTCCATAACAATATCCAAGATTATATTGACCACTGGCATTTCCACCTTCAGCAGATTTTAAATACCATTGAAATGCTTTTTCGTCGTCTTTAGTGATCCCAATACCATTTTGAAAAAAAACTCCGAGGATCATTGCATTTTGAGGGGTTTCCTGTCGGTTAGTTAATAAATTAAAAATCTGTTCGGAAGTCGTCTGATTGTTTTTAAT